CTTGGTTGCAGGCACATCCCCACTGGGGGGCGTGCAGGAGGCAGCTGATCGATCTCTCTCATCGATGTTTCTGGCTTTCTATCCCTCTCCCTTCTTCTCTGTAAAAAAAACAATAAAATATATTTTTAAAAAAATGAAATGTGTTTACAGCTACCCTTGGGTAATTACAACCTACATTTTATGTGCCTTCCCTTTTGAAATTCTCATCAAAGAGAGAAAGATAGGGTATTATAATAATATGGGTGATTATTCATTATGGGTAAAGTCTTTGAATAATGCATCAGAGATCCATTAAACTAAATGGAAATAATATATTTTAACTGCCCATCCACAAACCAGTTGAGGATATTGAGTAATGAATGGCACAGCAGGGCCCGTGGTTCTTAGTCACTCTGGTTGTGGACAGATAATGAGCAAGGCATGTTTGAGATCCATAGGCACATGGGAAGTTCCCTCTCACTCTGTTCTTAAGGAAACTGTACAATTGCCTTAAAAGTATTAGCAACTACAGGAGGTATCTGCCCTTTAAAATTATATGGCCATCACAGTCAGGATCTAATAAATCCAAACCTAAGGTCAAGTGTAGTATGGAGGAAAGGACATTGGATTCCAAAACCAGAGATCCAGCCTGTAGTCTCTTGCTTTGTGACCTTGTACCAGTTATCTGTTGCCACAGTGATGGTGTGTAATAAACCACCCACATCAGTGGCTTACAACAGCAAGCATTGGTTTCGGCTTGGGAGCCTGTATAGGTCAGCTGAGCAGCTCGTATGTCTGCGGAGACTGTGGGTTGGTGAGGTGCCTCTACTGCTCTTAGCTGAGCTCTGTCATGTGTCCCCAGGCTCAGTTGCGACAGCTGCTGATTGAACTCTGTGCTGTCACGGTTCCAGGGCAGGTAGTTTGACTTCTCTGAGTAGGTGTTACCTTGTCTGTAATCCACAGGTGGTTGGTTGTCCAGTTAACAAAGGGGTGGTGTAGGGGGTAAAGCCAACGAATTTTAAATATATGAAAATGCTGGTGGCCATGCTGGTCCTGGGAGATTCCTATTTCTAAAATCAGAAAGCACCAAATAGTTCTGGGGTTCAGAGCTGCCTGCAGACGCCCAGTCCCAATCACCACACCCAAGGGCAGGGACTGAGGCCCGACTCACCATTCAGCAAACTTTAGGACCATTGCATTGTTTGTCGCAGGAAATAAATCAGTCTTGTCTTTGCATTTTGAGGAAAAGGTGTCATCTTTATTCCAGTGACCACTGGCAAAGTTTTTGAAGCATTCTCTTCTCATCTCTACCACCCTCTCAGTTTTGTGCATATTTTTGTAATATCCCTGGTAGCAGTGGTTGGAAGTCAGCACAAGCGTTTTCCAAGTAGCCATCTTCCTCTCTGGAAATGGCAAGCAGACGTGGGTGCTGAACATCCTCTCCACTAAATAAATGCCTTCGCGCTCCCGGCCAATAGGCACGGTCGCTCGGAAAGCCACTTCTGCGCACAGTCTTTATCTCTTCGCCTTTGAGAGCATTCCCCGTCCAGAACACCCTCTCTCCAGATGCTCTCGGCTGCCTGTCAGCAGCTCTGGTCAGCAGTGTGGCTTTCCGTTGCCTCGTGGTGCATAAGGAGAAGAGGTTTCTGGGAGAACCAGGACGCAGACCCTTCAGGAGGAAAATCCACAAGCGAGGCAGAAGTCAGGCAGCCCTTGCAGGCAATGCTCTGCCAAATGCCACTCGAAACATCAAGCAGCCTTGGCGTGGATACCTTAAATCAGATCCCTAATTAACAGGATGAGCGGTGTGTTTTGTTCCCACCGCAGGCTGTGCTTGGGAGATCGACAGGTTAGACCCCTCGAAGCTTGGATTTTGAAGACTGTGTAGCCTGGTTGTGAGTGAGGCTGGATGGATGCCCTGCAGTGTGAGGGATGGAGACCAGGCCAGCAGGGGCCAGGACGGGTTATCTAACTTGACCCTGGACACAGAGGCCTTCAGCAGCACCGGGTGGCCCTGCTCACCCACAGCCAGGCCGCTGCTTGGGACTGTGGGTGAATTTCCTCCAAACCACCTTCATCTTAAAACCTGCTTAAAGGCTAAAGGCAAACAAATCCTTTTTGAAACTTGAGTCCGTTTTAAGACATCTTTACAAAAATCCCCTCTGAACCATTAGCTGTTATGTCACATAATTTCCTTTTCCTGAGAGGAACATTCCTGGTGATTACCGCTATGAGGAATTATAAGTCTCACCCTGTAAGAAGCTCTGTTCGGTTTCCCACGGAGATAATGTGGGACTAAGGCGATTTTCTGAATTTCTACCTGAGGTGCTTTTTCATTTTGCTCTGACTGCTAAATCCTTTCCCCTCCCCCTCCCCCTTCCCCGTGCCTTTCTTGAGTTAGAAATGCGGTGTGGGATGGTTGATTTAGGACTGAGTTGATCCTAGCACAAAGTTCAGTTTGGGGGCAGAACAATAGAATTTACAATCAACTTTTCTTCAGAATATATATCTTTAGATGTTTTCAATATTATTTTGTAATTGTATCCTGGGTTATTTTATATTGTTATAATCTGTGTATCCCGTGGCCAGCTGCTTCTTTTAAAAACTTTAGCTATTCAATAAATAGAAAGTGTTACCTAATCTTAGATTCTCATTAGGTTTAATTTAAAATGCCTTTTTATTTTTAAATGTTTGTTTTTAATTTGCAATTTTATTTCCCATTATCTTCCAATCCATACGTCTTGGGTTTTATTATTAAAAACGGGTTGATATTTGGGTGTGTGTTTTGTTTGTTTTTTACCAACTACAGACAATAAATTTTAAAACTTAATTTATATGGGATCCAAGGGTAACCTGTACATATCAGATTTTCTCCAGAAAAAAAAAATTTTCTAGAAGAAAGTTAAAGGAGACAAATTCCAGGCCCATAGAAGTGCAGCTGCCTAACAGAGCTGAGTGTCCATAAGGGAAATGCTGTGACCAGGCGAGGTGTTGTAGTACGAGACTTTAGAGGGCCCTTTGCAAAGTCACCCCACTTTTAAAATTCTGTGTTCCTCTGGGCTTTCAGACAGAACAGAAAGGAGGGTAGTTAACATGCACAGAGCACCTGCCTTGTGCCCGGCTCTCACCTAACTCTTTTCATTCTTCCTACAAAACACTGACTTACTCACCCCATTTTACAGATGAGGAAACCGAGGGTCATAGAGTAATCTGCCTAGGCATAGAAGTGAGGAATCAGAACCCAAGTCCAACAGAACCCAAGCACCCTGAGCTGATCACACAGCACCTGCCGGCTCCTGGGCCCAGCCCTGGGCCTGGCTCTCCTTGCAGCACATGAGGGCAGGGAGGGAACAGACCCCGCCTACTGGGGAAATAAGCTGGGACTTTCACTAATGATGGCAGCGAACAATAGGTGGCAGTATATACACACAACAAGGGTGGTGCTGAGTTAAACCAGTAGATTTCTTTTTCTGGATCCTGTACCATTTTCAAAGAAGCGCTTTATAGAGTCATCTGAGCAGTTTGTACTAAGCATCCCTACCCATTGGAATTTTTTAAAAATCAAATACAAATGTCCATCAGGCCAGTGGTTCTTTGCCTTGTCCCTGTGAAGCAGTGATGCTGGTTTAGACAAGCCTGAGATCCTGGCAACCCAGGGGCCCCCGTTTGCCTTTTCTTTCTCTTCTCTTACACACAGTCCTGGCTACTAGGGATGCTAAGAAAATTACTTCTTTAAAAACTCCCCATCACCAGACAGCAGTGAAATGTGTTCCACTTTGAGAGAGGTTAGGACAAAGGACTGGATTCCCTGTCTGGCCTGGTGGACAGCAGACCCACAGCTGGGTGACCCTCTGTGACCCCACCTCCAGCACCATCACGCCTGGAGCCTCAGGAGCTCCCAAAAGCTCCCCCTACGGCAGTGAGTGCACAAGGCAGGCGGCTGCAGAGCCCACTGGGTCACAGTTGTGCTTCTACCTGGGTTGGGGGTTTCCTTGCATTCCTCTAGGCCAGCTGTTCTAAACCTGTGGGTCGCAACCCCTTTGGGGGTCGAACGACCCTTTCACAGGGGTCGCCTAAGACCATCAGAAAACACATATATAATTACATATTGTTTTTGTGATTAATCACTATGCTTTAATTATGTTCAATTTGTAACAATGAAAATACATCCTGCATATCAGATATCTACATTACGATTCATAACAGTAGCAACATTACAGTTATGAAGTAGCAACAAGAATAATTTTATGGTTGGGGGTCACCACAACATGAGGAACTGTATTAAAGGGTCGCGGCATCAGGAAGGTTGAGAACCGCTGCTCTAGGGTGAACCGTGGTGGGTGAGGTTTTTTGTTTTTGTTTTTTAAATCTTTATTGCTAAAAGTATTACATAGGTCCTCCTTTTCCCCCATTGGCCTCTGGGGGAACTGCGGTGTGTGTTTTTCTTAATGACAGAAGTGAGCTCCCTTGGTTGGCCTTTGGCAACTGCCTTAACTAAAACTTTCCTTCAGTTGACCCTATTCTGTCTGTTTGAGGGAGAAAGGAGTCTTCAGAGAACTGTGGCCGGGGTGCTGGCTCGGAGAGCGTCCTTGGACCGTCCCCAGGGGACGGGACACTAGACGACACCATGCGGCTTCATTTGGCCGAGGACCCCCCATCGTCGACAGGAATATAAACTCAGTGACTCACACATTTTTATTGGGCACCAACTGTGTGTTTGACATTGTGCTGGGGGCAAAATATGTGGCCTAAATTATTTTTCACCTAATGGGAAATGAGTGTGGAAAAAAGTAATACAACATTAGTAAAAGTTGTGATGTTATCACTTACCAAGTTATCAAGTGATCATTAGTATCCTCTGGTATGTTACTGCTGATGAATTAGGAGTCATATTGGTCACCCACTTCTCCATGTGAAGAATACATAAAACTGCTTTTTATTAGCAAAGCCAGACAGTTCTATTGGGTGCGCCCAGATCGCAAATAGCTGAGTGGATTGGTGTCCTGTCTGCTTCTGCCCAGCCTGCAGAGTGGGATGAACCTGCAGATCTGCTTTGTCAACGACAGCGGCAGTGACAAGGACAGCGATGCGGATGACAGCAAGACGGAAACCAGCCTGGACACCCCCTTGTCGCCCATGGTGAGTCAAAGCTGCCGCCGACGCTCAGTGGGTGTGCTTTGCTGGCCATGCAGCCTCTTTGCATTTCCTGACGTGGCGTGCTCCTAAGACAGCCGTGGGCAAACTATGGCCCACGGGCCGGATCCGGCCCATTTGAAATGAATAAAACTAAAAAAAAAAAAAAGACCGTACCCTTTTATGTAATGATGTTTACTTTGAATTTATATTAGTTCACACAAACACTCCATCCATGCTTTTGTTCCACCCTCCGGTCCAGTTTAAGAACCCACTGTGGCCCTCGAGTCAAAAAGTTTGCCCACCCCTGTCCTAAGATGTGACAATGATTGGAAACCCAAACCTGTGACACAGCAGTGCTACATAAGCTCTGTTAAAGTTAGCAACTACTTTTATATTAGACCATAAGAGAAATTGCATGTGTCCTAAAAAATTTTTAAGGACCATATGCTACACACCAATCCTTCCCTACTGGGTGTAGAAATATATGAGTACAGACCAGCAGTAGGACACGTTTTAAAAGGATGGGCGGCAGGGCTCAGGGGAAAGCTCATGCACAGAGGTGATGTTCAGGGAAACCAGCAGGATGACGTGCGTATAGTATTTCTTACTCATTCCTTGCCCACATGCTATAACAGACTGCCTTCTGATCATGGGAGCCTGTTGCCGGAATTCTTACCACTCAGTGAGGTCTGCTCATCTCTTTTCTCACCAACCAATCGTGTTTTCTTACCAAGGAACCCATGTTGGTCACTGGGTGCCTGAGGTCCTGTCCACTCCAGAGAGCAACACACTGCCTTAGCTCTGGGTTAAATACGTTGTTGTGTCTTTTGAGACCAAATCAAAGAAATGTCTCAAGTGTGTCATAAATCTGTTTCTCCTATTATTTATTTACTAGAGGCCCAGTGCACAAAAATTTGTGCACTTTAGTGGGGGGTCCCTCAGCCCGGCCTGTGCCCTCTCACAGTCTGGGACCCCTCGGAGGATGTCCACCTGCTGGCTTAGGCCCACTCCCCCAGGGATTGAGCCTAAGCTGGCAGACAGACATCCCTCTGGCAGCCCAGCAGCCCTCGGGGGATGTCCACTTGCCAGTGGGGAGCAGGCCTAAGCTGCAGTCGGACATCCTTAGCGCTGCTGAGGAGATGGGAGAGGCTCCCGCCACCACCACTGTGCTGGCAGCCATCAGCCTGGCTTGTGGCTGAGCAGAGCTCCCCCTGTGGGAGTGCACTGACCACCAGGGGGCAGCTCCTGCATTGTGTGTCTGCCCCCTGGTGGTCAGTGTGTGTCATAATGACCAGTCATTCCCAGTCGTTCTGCTGTTAGGGTCAATTTGCATATTACCCTTTTATTATATAGGATAGAGGCCTGGTGCATGGATGGGGGCCAGCTGGTTTGCCCTGAAGAGTGTCCCGGATCAGGGTGGGGGTCCCTCTGGGGTGCCTGGCCAGCCTGGCTGAGAGGCTGATGGCTGTTTGCAGGCTGGTCACACCCCCTTCAGGGTGGGGGTCCCCAATGGGGTGCCTAGCCAGCCTGGGTGAGGGGCTGATGGCTGTTTGCAGTTGGTCACACCCCCTTCAGGGTGGAGGTCCCCACTAGGGTGCCTGGCTACTCTGGGTGAGGGGCTGATGGCTGTTTGCAGGCTGGCCACAGCCCCTTCGGGGGGAGGGGTCCCACTGGGGTGCCTGGCCAGCCTGGGTGAGGGGCTGATGGCTGTTTTCAGGCTGGCCACAGCAGCGGGCTGGAAGCAGGTATCTGGGATTTATTTATCTTCTATAATTGAAACTTTGTAGCCTTGAGCAGAGCTCAGGGCCAGCCAGGGCAGGCGGGAAGCTTGGCTTCCTCCATCGCCACCAGGGCAACCAAGCCTCCTGCTGGCTCCAGCTCCGTGGCCACCGCCATCTTTGTGACAGAGTGATGGAGTGAGGGTGTGGCGGTTAATTCACATATTACTCTTTTATTAGATAGGATTCTGCTACTCTTTATGCTAAAAATCACAGTCTGGTATTGACACTGAGGCAATAAACTACCTTTTTAGTTGAGACTGGTACAGATAACATTGTGCAGCGAGCTGAGTGGATGGAGGGGAGTCTCGGGAGGGCTCGGGGATGCTCTGGCCCCTCTCCCCAGATGCTACCTGGCATGCAAAGCTCAGGGCTGCTCTTTTTCCCTTCGCAGAGCAAACAGAGCTCTTCCTATTCTGATAGAGACACTACTGAAGAGGAATCTGAATCCCTAGATGATATGGATTTCCTCACCAGGCAAAAGAAATTGCAAGCTGAAGCTAAAATGGCCCTCGCCATGGCCAAGCCCATGGCCAAAATGCAAGTAGAAGTGGAAAAACAGAACAGGAAAAAGTCTCCCGTCGCTGACCTAGTAAGTAGCAGACACTGAAATGCAAGCGAGTTCCTGGTGGCTGCAAAGGGTTGGCACTGTCCCGCTCCTTTGCCTGAGTTATGCAAACTTGGGTTTCTCCGAGGCAGTTTGTAAGAAATACTGTCATTGAGAAATGTTTGTTTCCTTTTCCTTTCTGCTGCATCACTGAAAGATACATAAGCAGCAGATTTCACAAAAGTAAACTTTGTTCTTGATTCAGGTCTACTTTGTTTGTTAGGGACAATATTAGCTGTCATGGGACTATTTAAATTCCTTTAAAGCAATTTCAGTTTAAGAACCTATTGGTTGTGGCAGACTCACTACTGCTATGCTCTCAGTCCCACCTTCCAACAAAGACAGTGTAGCATAGTGGATAAGAGCCCGGCACTTTGGAGTTTAAATCTGTCTCTGCCACTGCCCTACTGTGGGGCTCTGGTCAGGTTACATAACTCTCAGCTTTCTCATCTATAAAATGGGTATAAACAATAACACCCGTGTCAGAGCACATAGCACAGTGCTTGTGGCGTGCTATGAATTAATACATAGCTGATATTATTAATTTCATCCATGTCATCGATATTATTTGAGCTCACCGGTAATTCATTTATGTATAGAATAATGGACTCACGGTTGTCACAGCCTGTGTAAGAGCCAGTCTGAAAGCTTTTGGTTTGAGTAGGGTAGCATTTTGATGCTGATAGTGTTCCAGACATTGTAGTACGTAGGGCCTCGCGTTGAGAAAGTTAGACTGGGAAAGCTTTTAAGCCCAGAACTTGAAGGTGGGTGAATGAGAGGGGCGGTCTTTATGGGGGAAACTGGGTCTTGGGTTCAGTGTACTTGCTGCTCTGTTCACACGTCCATCCCATCCCTCTGTCTCCGCAGCTGCCACACATGCCTCATATAAGCGAATGCTTGATGAAGAGGAGTTTGAAGCCCGCTGACCTGAGGGACATGACTATTGGGCAGCTACAAGTCATAGTCAATGATCTCCATTCTCAGATAGAAAGTAAGTGTCAGGTGTGCTTGAAAATGGAGTAATAAGTGGGAAATGCAATGGGACAGCACCACTTCCTCAATTTAGACCCTTTGTACAGCATTTCATTGGGCTCCTCCTGTGTGTGTGCCTGCAAGTTCGTTCTCTCTCTCTCTCTCTCTCTCTCTCTCTCCCTCTCCTTAGAAATATTCAGAAACTTTAAGAATTTTTCAAGGTTAGGTCCTTATTATTTATTTTAAATAGCAAGCACTTGGCAAGCATCTGGCTTGCAACACCTGTTTCTAGAATACAATTTAGTAGTTACAGGTCATTTGTTATACAATGATATCCTCAACTTTACTGTTACATACATTCATTTTGGGTCATCAAATGAAACTCGACTTATTTGTGGTGCTCCAGGTGGTGATAGCAGATAGGACCAATATGTCAAAATTACAGGGTGATGAAATGTGGGCCTGTTTCCCCTAGAATAACTGCAGTGGGAGGGGTAGTGAGTGAGTAGCACTCGCTCGCACTGATTAGAGGTGCAGAGAAGGTCCGTTGCTTGGCCCGATGAAGGAGAGAGCATGCCCACCTGGGCAGAGTGGTTAGGCCAGATGGGCTCACAAATCCTCTGGAACATATGGTGGCACTTACAGATAAAGCCACCTAAGAGATATGCCAACCAAATGCATTCAGACAAACTAACTATAAAAAGCATTTTTAGGAGCTAAGTGGGGAAATTGAACACTGACTAAATGTTTTATTAAATATTTTTTTATTCAGATATGATGAAGATATTGTGGTTGTGGTCATTTTTTTTAAAAAGAGCCCCATAATTTTTTAGAAATATATACTGAAGCATCAATAGATGAAATAATATGATGTTTGGAATTTGCTTTAAAATAGTCCACTAGGAGAAAGGGAGAGAGCTGCGTCAAGATTGGCTAGTTGAAGCTAGATGGATGCATGGGGCATTCTTAAACTATGCTCTTTGCTTTTGTATCAGTTTGGAATTTCCCATAATAAAAAGTTAAAAACTTCATATGGGGAAAAAATTCCTATGCACGATGCAGGCACTATACTGGGTACCAGCATAAAAGCCTACCCCAAGAACACATTGGAAAAATTAGAATTGGACATCTTCAGTGTCAAGTTAATATATTCAGTATTGTTTTAAAATCAAGAAGAGATAAAGAATTCTTTCATCTGCAAAATAAGCCAGTCAGAGAAAGACAAATACCATTGATCTCACTAATATGTGGAATCTAATGAACAAATGGAACTGGAAGCATGGATAATAGATACATGGCACAGGCTGGCAGGAGCCAGAGGGGAGGGCGGCGGGGTGGCTGGATAAAGCAGGCGAAGGGATTAGTAAAGAACATATATGCATGCCCCATGGACAGGGACAATAGTGTGGTGATGGCCAAGGGAGAGGGAGGCTAATAGAGGGGGGTGGAGGCTGAGGGAAGTGAGGGTGGGCAAAGGGGGTGATGGGGGAGTCAGCAATAATGTCAACATAAAAAATTTTTAATCGTAAAAATATTTTTAATAAAATAAAATTGAGAGAAAGAGTTTCACATTTTAATTAAGAAACCATAGATTCGGTGGATTTCTAAAAATTCTGCATTTTAATTTAGTTGAGTAAATTACTGGGAGTGTTACTCTGTCAAGTGCTATTTTACGACTGAAGCATCTTCCTTGGATTTTTAAATACTAATAAGTTGCCATCTCATCCTTTTCAGGGGCTGATGATGTGTCAGGCCTCTTTGTATGGTTCTTTCCCTCCCTTTCTTTTTAAAATTGGAAACTAGTCTGAACTAAAGGCAGACAAATGCATCATTTGAAGTCAGGATCTCTAAAAGCATTTCCCAGGGGGACCTGGCTGAGTACCCACTTCCTTTCTTTGGTTTCCGGGCCCAGGGCTCTCGCTAAACGGGTGTTCTCCCCTTGTGTCCATGTGTCCAGACTCACAAGCTTTGATTCTTAGCTGAACTGAGGGGAAAACGCAAGAGAGAGCCCTTGCTTGTTCATCCCCTTCAGAGGCAGAAGCCAGATTGACCCATTCACTGATTTCAGGAAGATGAGAAATGTGTCCTTGCATTTTTTTCCCCAGCATAAGCCCTGAGGAATATTTCCCTTGGCACCTGTTGTCCAGAGACTTCGGGGCTGATTTCCTCAGGCCTTACACCCTGGCTTTCTGATGGCTTGAGCTAATACTTTCCCCAGAGCAACCTGCACACGGGGCTGCTCCTTCCTGGGCCGTGGGAAGCCCGGAGCATCCCTGAGGCACCTGAGTCAGGCCCGGCGGCCCCTCCGACTCTCAGTGTGGCAGGTGCAGTGGGAAACTTAATAAACCCCAGACATTTTTGCTCACATTTTTATTTTTTGTTTTTCAAACTAAACGCCACTTTTACTAACAAGCTATTTCCCTAATAGTGAACAATTTTTCACACTCTAATGTTAATGTATTTGGAAATCCTTTGTACTTTACTCCTTTCCTTCCAACACTCTTATAATTATGCAGATTAGTCATGTTCTCAAATTGATGGCTTCCCCTGAGCTTATGAGAAGCTCATATAAAAATTCTAAATTTTAACAGAAATGATATAGATAGATGATAGATAGGTAGATAGATAGTAGATAGATAGATAGATAGATAGATAGATAGATAGATGATAGATCTGTGACACATGTGCCCAGAAATAGTTACCCATTCTGACCTGGATGCAGTCTTACTTGGATACAGTCCTGCCTGTTTTTAAGTGCTCTCTTCTCTCTGCCCCAGGCTTGAATGAAGAGCTGGTCCAGCTGCTGCTCATCCGAGATGAGCTGCACACGGAACAGGACGCCATGCTGGTGGACATTGAAGACTTGACCAGGTTGGTGATCTTTCGCCCTTTCTAGAGAAGCCCTGGTCTGAAGTTAAAGAGTTAGGGCAAGAGCAAGCTCTGGAGAACTCTCTCCCTCCCTCCCTCCCATGGGTTCCTCACCTAATCCCTGCTGGTGTCAGCTGGTAAGATGGAGGGGAAGTGGCCAAAGCTGCTCCTTTCCAAATGCATTGCTTGTCACAGCCGTCCTCCCGGTGTGATAGGCGCCAGGGCACTGGACCGTCATAGAGCGCACCCAGGTCGGTCAGCGGTTCTGGCCCAGGAAGACTGCGTGGCCCCGGGGAGTAGGCTCTAAGCCCTTCCAGGCTGGCGAGTTTCCAGTGGATGAGCCGCCACAGGGTGGGTGCCACAAAATGGCACTTGCTGGTTTGTGACCTGACTCTTGATCGCATCTGCTATGCCCAGAAGGCAGGGGCACTGGCATCTTTCCACAGTACCAGTGCCACCAGATTGCTCTCACCGGGTGGGAGACGCTAAGACTTGAGTCTCTAGCCGGGCCTGGCTCCAAGCGCCTCTCTGTGAAGCGGTAACGAGTGCCTCCTTCCCCAGGGGACAAGGAAACAAGGCTAATGCTGGCCAAGGTCTTGCATTTGTTAGTTTTCCTTGTAGAAAAGCTCGTCACCAGAAGTGTAGAAAGTACACAAAATACTGCAAGCATTCCTGGTATCTCACATTTGCTTAGGCACCTTTTTCTAGACAGTTTATCTGAAGTCTTTAAGCCAGGAGGCAACGGTTACTATTAATCCCTGAAATGGTATTCAGAGAGCAGAAGGCTCTCTGAGCAAAGAAAGAACACTGCTTGTCACAATAACATCAGGCATTGGCCACGTGACCCACCACCATCCTAAAGGAGCTTGAAAACGTATGTGGTGAAATTGCTCCTGAGGACCCCTTCTCGGTGTGGGACACTGGGAAAAATATTTTTCAGATGTTATAAAGATAGTTTGGGTGGCAAAATAAATGCCATGGAACTCTGTTTAGGCTTTTTTTTTTTTTTTAAGACCTATCCAGGGGCAGCATGCTGTTTTGTATGCTTTGAATATTATACTGCCTCATCCCTAACAAAAAGACAAAAACAAAAACCAAAAAAACCAGAAGGCCTTCCCGTACCTTCTTAGCATATTTGCCTGCATCTGAAATAACACTCAAATTGCAATAACACTCAGTAATATTATTGCCATCTACAGATGTATTCAGGCACTGCACCAATAGCTATAAGATACAGCCCTTTTTGTCAATCTAAGAAGTTTGCATGCATGTATTAAGATTATGGGAAACCACTATTGAAATATACACCCGGGACCTGCATCTTTGAAAAATATGTGAAGTCTTTGATAAATTTATGATCTGCCTGTGGGAGCAGAGGCTTTTCTCTGCCCCTCAAAGCAGCATTGACCTCACTCGTTGCAAGGAGGACATTGAGAGGCTCCTCTTCTCTCAATGGGTTAAGTTACTGGGATTGCAGTGTGGTGTTTGTGTCTACTTTCAGATGGTGCGATCCTGGGAAGCAGGGCAGGCAAAACCAGGGGGTTAAAAGAAGAGCAGTCGCTAATTTAAAGGTGTTGGAGGCATCCTTTAAATTGGAGTCAGTAGGGAGAAGTTTTTATGTCCATTCCCGACTGGTGGGTTTTAACTTTGCTTATGGGGGAAAAGGAGGGTACTTGAACACCCCTCACGGTAGCAGTCCCAGAGCTTTGCAGCCAGGTCTGAACTGGCGAAGAGCTTGGCTGTGGGGCTTTCAGATTTGGCTGCACACTGGAACCCCAGGGACCGTTATAAAGTGTGGATGCCTGGGTCTGACCCCCAGCGATCCTGATTTAATTATCATGTGGCGTGGCCTGGGCATTAGGAGGTTTTAGAGCTCCCCAGATGATTTCAGTGCACAGCCGAATGAGGACGACTGGTTTGCATGAAGCCTCTTTGGAGACGTGCTCCCTGGCTCCCCGAGACTGGGGTAGGACACTCCCATGTGTAGCCTAATCATCCGTGCTACATCGTCTGCTGTCTGTCCCTGCCTGACTGTAAACCCCCTGAAAGCAGAGATGGTGCCATTCTCATTCATTACCGCATCCCCATAGCTGAGGACAAGGACTGCCAGGTACATAGTAGGTCCTCAATAACGATTGTTGATAAAAAGGAGTCCTTTAGGGCTTTCCTATAAATAACTGATGAGTACCTTTTAATTGTATGGACTGAAACTCTTTTCCCTCCTTTGTTTAAGATGTTAATGAAATACACCATTTTTAAAACTTATTATTATTATTAAGCATAGTTGTTATACAATCTTATATTGGTTATATTAGTTTCTGTACAGTATAGTGATTCGACATTTTTATACCTTACAATGTGATCACTCCACTAATTCTAGTAATCATTTGTCACTGTGCAAACTTATCACAATATTATTGACTATATTCCCCTTCCCCTTTTCACCCATCCACCTAACCCATCCCTTTTGGTAATCATCTCTTTGGTCTCTGTTTCTATGCATCTATTTTTGTTTTATTTATTTGTTTTGTTTTTAGATTCTACATATAAGTGAGACCATATGGTGTTTGTATTTCTCTGTCTGGCTTATTTCACGTAGCCTAATGGCCTCTATCAGTGATGGCGAACCTTTTGAGCTCGGCGTGTCAGCATTTTGAAAAACCCTAACTTAACTCTGGTGCCGTGTCACATATAGAAATTTTTTTATATTTGCAACCATAGTAAAACAAAGACTTATATTTTTGATATTTATTTTATATGTTTAAATGCCATTTAACAAAGAAAAATCAACCAAAAAAATGAGTTCACATGTCACCTCTGACACGCGTGTCATAGGTTCGTCATCACTGCTCTAGATCCATCCATGTTGTCACAGATGGCAAGATTTTATTCTTTTTTATTGCTGCATAATATTTCTGTGGTGTGTGTGTGTATGTGTGTGTGTGCCACATCCTTATCCATTCATCTATTGATGGACACCTAGGTTGCTTCCATATCTTGGCTGTTGTAAATAATGCTGCAATGAACATATGGGTGTTCATTGAATTAGTGTTCTCATTTTCCTTGGGGAAGTATTCATAAGTGGAATTGTTGGGTTGTATGGTATATCTGTTTTCAACCTTGTAAATAATACCCAGTTTTAAATATTTCCCAAAGCAATATTCTATCTGTTCTTTTCTTCTTTCTCAGAAAAAAACCCTTACTTATGTGTGTGTGCACATGCACTCATAGATACATATTTTAAAACTGCCATAAGAACTAGAATTCAGTTAGCAATAGTGGAATCTTAGCTCACTGTGCATCAAAATATTTCTTGAACTGAATTTGTGAAGGGGGGCCCAGGAGCTACTTTATGAATATGATCAAGATTCTTTTATACATAGAATTAGGGCCATGAGTTGGTCTGTTAAAGAGCATTTTTTTTTTTTTTTTTTTTTTTTTTTTTTTTTTTTTAGGGAAAGAGTGTATCTTTTTCTTGAGTTTCTTTATTCTTAAATGAATATCACCAATTATTTGTGGGCTGTTGACTGTGGCAAGGACTCTATTGTGACTTCCCTGTTTCTGAACGTATTTGTGGTTTCTGTACCATAGATATGAGACATTCTGCATAGAACAGCGAGTTAAACTTGACGTCATTGGCCGCCCAGATGAGGGCAGCACACAAAACTGCCCGATCCTTTGGGTACAGCTGGGAGCCACACCCCGAGATGCTTTTCTCTTGCCAAATTTACAATTTCCTAATATCCTTATCTTTCTTCAAAACACGTGTCTTTTGCAGCCTTCAGACACCACCATTCTCTGAGAAGACGGTTAATTAGCGCCCATGTAAGTGATAGAAGCAGCTTAGTCATTCCTCCCACCGTCTCCACCGACCACATGCCGGGTGGACCACACTTTGTGCTCAAAGGCCTTAGTAGGCCTGGATGAATAAGAAGATTCACCCCATCCTACCCCTACCCTCACTGACACGATCATGCCCTTTGGACTATTTGAGGGGGAAAAAGTATACAAACATGGACATTCTTGACATCTACAAAAGCCTACCATTTGCTAGGAAGACATTAGCTTTGTAAGAATGGCGTTAGATTGCTGGCTTCCGATTCCTGTCAGGAGCCTTGCCAATGCGTGTATCTGTGTGCACGTGTTCAGATAAAGTAGTCACGAAGTTACTTTCTGTCACCCGCGCGCCCCCCCCCCCTTGTTTTGACTCTCTGCTTAGCACTTATTTTCTGTCTGCTCACTCCTTGTTTGCTACTTGTTCCTTTCTTGTCTCTCTCCTTTGGAATATTCACTCCGTGAGAACAAAGACCTCGTTGTCTACTCACCACCAAACCCCTCACGTCAGCAGCCGTGCCGGGCACATTTGTTGAATAAATGATCCCAGAGACTTATCTCTCCTCATTTTTAAACACAGCACTTTAACGGGTCTGAGGTTAATCCAATGGCTCATTAAATAAAAGAACTTGTGCATAGAAAACTGAAGAGGGAAAATCCATTTGAATTAAGATCTATTTCATGATTTCACTATGAGTAACTGAACCTCAGTTTGGAGGATGTTTTAGTTGTTGATTGGACAGCAGCTTGGATCTTCCCCCTTCACACTAACCAGTTGATTTATTAATTTTGCAGACATGCCGAAAGTCAGCAAAAGCACATGGCAGAGAAAATGCCTGCGAAGTGAAGAGGAGCCATCCCATCAGAGGACAAGCTAGACGTCTTTTTGCTTCTGTGGTTGTAAAAATGCTGTTGTGCAAGGTGGCGCAGAAACAAACAAACATCAGTGTTAGTCATTGATAATGTCTGAAGCTTCATGTCCAGTGATTGGCCTTTGCTTCTTTTTCTTTCTTTTTTTTCCCACATTTTACCAGATGAATTTAATTGACATTTTCAGAGCATTACACCCCAAAACTGCAGGGCACACGTTCCCCTCAACTCACATGGAACACCCTCTAGGACAGACCACATATTAAGCCACAAGACAAGCTTAAATGAACTTAAAAAGATTTAAATCATTCCACACATCTCCCACCCCACCCCCAGCCACAATGGCATGAAAGTAGAAATCAATGTTAAAAAAAACACCTGAAAAACACACAAACACATGGAGGCTAAATAACACGCTACCAAACAGTGAATGGGCTAACAATGAGACCAAGGAAGAAATCAAAAGATACCTTGATCCCTGGCTGGTGTGGCTCAGTTAGTTGAGTGCCGTCCAGTTCAATTCCGGGTCAGGGCACATGCCCGGGTTGTGGGCTCAATCCCCAGTAGGAGGCGTGCAAGAGGCAGCCAATCGACGTTTCTCTCTCATATTGATGTTTCTCTCTCTCTCTCTTTCTTCCTCTCCTTCCTCTCTCTCTAAAATCAATAAAAACATTTTTTTTAAAAAAAGATACCTCAAGACAAGTAAAATAAGAACACAACCCCAAATCTATGAGACACAGGGAAAGCAGTCCCAAGAGGGAAAGCAGCAACAACACGGGCCCACCTCAAGAAACAAGAAAGTCTCAAGCCAGCAATGGAACCTTTCACCAGAAGGCAGGTTTTGAATGAGCCCATTGGATTATTTTAAAATGTGTACCATGATCTTCATTGGATTGATTGATTGTTATTATGGAAGTATTCTTTTTTTTTTAGTAAAGTTCACCAAATGTAAAAACTGTTCTAAATTGAAAAATCCAGTAGCATTTGATACATTTACAATGTTGTGTGATGATCACTTCTATCTAGTTCCAAAACATTTCATCACCCCAAAAGGCGACCACATACCCATGAAATGGTCATTCCCCATGCCCACCCACAGTCACTGTCAGCCACTTGTCTGATTTCTGTCTCTATGGATTCGCTTATTCTGGAAATTTCATATAAAAGGAATCACACAATAGAAAAGACAAGTTTTCCCTTAAAAACATAATGATAGGCAGACCCCTACTAAAATTGAAGAGTAGGTGGCACACAAAATTAAATTCAGAGAAGGAAAATCAATTTCACAAGAGAGCACTTCATCTTGAAGTCTTCATCATCTGATGTAGGCCAGGAGTTGATTAATTCCAGGTTTGCTGAAAGCCCAGAAACAGCGTCCACAAGCTGGAGTTTTGTGCAGCCTGTTCTGCTCCTTAGTCTCCAGAACTCTCATTTGCTGTCCTTGAATTTGTTTTTCCTGATACTTGGATAGATTCCTGTAGACCAAGATTGCTACTTTCAGCACACTTTTTAGATCTTCTTCATTCTAAGTTAGTTGGTCTTTGCTTCCCATCTGATCGACTTTTGTGCCTCTATTTAATAAAAATTCCACCATTTGCTCTTTGCTTTCCTTTAGAATAAGTGAAAGTGGTCCGAGGTCATCCTTGTGTCTTTCTTCCATATTTGCCTTGTGTGAAAGCAGCTCTTCTACTATTGCTGTATTTTGACCAGTGGCAGCACAGTGGAGAGCAGTGTTGCCGTCGATGCCCACTGCATTTGGACCAGCACCATGGTCTAACAGAATAGTTGCCCAGGCCTCTTCCTGGCATCGTATGGCCTTAATCAGAGCTGTTCTGTTTTCATTGTTACAGGGGTGCAACAGGCATTTTCTGTCTGCTAGGAGGGAGAGTAGCCATTCCCAGATGGCCATCGGCGCAGGCCGGATGTAGAGCAGCCCTGTTCTTCTTGTCTCTATCATTCAAGCCACTTCACCTGGACAAGACAATTCTTCACTCTCCATACGTTGCCCAGGCCGGCAGTTTTGTGAACAGGCATTTTCTGTCGGCTAGGAGGGAGAGTGGCCACTCCCAGATGGCCATCGGCGCAAGCCAGACCTAGAGCAGTCTTTTTCTTCTTATCTCTGTCATTCAAGCCACTTCACCTGTTCTGCTTCTTAGTCTCCAGAACTCTCATCCGCTGTCCTTGAATTTGTTTTTCTTGATACTTGGATAGATTCCTGTAGACCAAGATTGATACTTTCAGCACACTTTTTAGGTCTTCTTCATTCTAAGTTAGCTGGTCTTTGCTTTCCATCTGATCGATTTTTGTGCCTCTATTTAATAAAAGTTCCACCATTTGCTCTTTGCTTTCCTTTAGAATCTAAAGGAAATTTGCTCTTTGCTTTCCTTTAAACTCCTTAAGTGAAAGTGGTCCGAGGTCATCCTCGTGTCTTTCTTCCATATTTGCCTTGTGTGAAAGCAGCTCTTCTACTATTGCTGTATTTTGACCAGTGGCAGCACAGTGGAGAGCAGTGTTGCCGTCGATGCCCACTGCATTTGGACCAGCACCATGGTCTAACAGAATAGTTGCCCAGGCCTCTTCCTGGCATCGTATGGCCTTAATCAGAGCTGTTCTGTTTTCATTGTTACAGGGGTGCAACAGGCATTTTCTGTCTGCTAGGAGGGAGAGTAGCCATTCCCAGATGGCCATCGGCGCAGGCCGGATGTAGAGCAGCCCTGTTCTTCTTGTCTCTATCATTCAAGCCACTTCACCTGAACAAGAAAATTTTTCACTTTCCATATGTTGCCTGGGCCAGCAGCTTTGTGGATCTTCCCCAGATTTTTGTCTGGAATGTGGTAGCGTGCCCTCGGTCTCCCACGCCACTCCTCCCGGGCTGGCGGAGGAGCCCAAGGGCAACACGTCCAGCCTCCTCCGAAAGGAAAACCTCTCTCTCACAGGAGAGCCCACGAGCTTCAGAGAAGCCTCACCTTCCCTCCGCTTTTCTCGACTCCTGAGCCCAATACTCTCTCTAGATAAGCCGACCACCTCACGCCACAACATTCAAGCAGGGCAGTTTCCTGGCCTTTGCTTCTTAATTTATTTTAATTTTTTTTACTGTGCCACTAAATATCAGGCATTTTAATAAAATATTGTTACAGAAATGTACAGTGCTTACACCATCACAAAATCCAAAAGGGTAGTTTTTATTTTTATTTGTTTAGAGATTTTCAGTTGAAGCAGTATTTTACCATTGACTACTTTCATTCTTCACTGTAGTTTTAAAGAACTGTAAATGACGGTGCTATACAAGTCAAAAATCCATGCCTGCCTCGTAGTGAAGTTGTAGCTCTCCGTAATATGTATATTTGAATCAGTTTTCAACATTTTGTGAATGTTGACTACCTGAAGTTCATTTTTAGATGTGCTATTAACATTCTGTTGGATTCAGAGGGTTCCTTGAAAGTTTTATGTATAAATATGTAAAATAAAAATTAAAACTTTGTTTCATATGATTATGTCTTTTTGCTCACTAGCAAGCCCTACCCTGGCTATATTTCTTCCCTTTTCACTCTTCCTCAACCATATTCCCCACCAGGAATTTTTTTGTAGTTTTAACCACTTCTCTTGGTCTCATGAAGAAAATTGCCAAGTCTAAAGAAGTAGGTTACAGGTTATTTTATCAGTGAATAAATGAAGTGCTCTCCAGAGGACAAGCAATACAGTGATTTGCCAACAAAATGGGGAAGGCGGCGGGGGGGGGGGGGGGGGGGCTGCGTAAGAGTATGTGAGGGTATGTGTGAATGAGTGTGTGTGAGTGTAAGTGTATGTTTGTGAGGGTATGTATGAATCAGAATGTGTGTGTGTGTGTGTGTGTGTGTGTGTGTGTGTGTGTGTGTGTGTGTGGTGCTTCTGTTATTGCTCAGAGTTACTAATCTGGAATTCCAGCACTGCACCATTTCACAGCTGCTGGTCTTGTTAGAGCCCATGACTGCATCAAAACTCCTTTTACCAAATTTGCCACATGAATGCACAATGCTTGCACTCATGCTTTTCTTCAGGCCAGCTGTGGTCATTTTTCCAATTTTAATCACTTCCACTGGTCTCATGAAGAAAAATGCCAAGTCTAGCCCAGCGTGGCTCAGTGGTTGAGCGTTGACCTATGAACCAGAAAGTCACGGTTCAATTCCTGGTCAGGCACATATCTGGATTGCAGGCTCAATCCCCAATGTACAGTGTGTAGGAGGCAGCCGATCAATGATTCTCATTGATGTTTCTATCTCTCCCTCTTCCTTCCTTTCTGAAATCAATAAAAATATATTTTTAAAAAATGAAAGAAAAATGCCAAGTCTAAAGAGTATTCTCCAATAAGTAGAGAGCTTCAGAAAATCAAAATGATTAGCTAGCATCCATGTAGGTGTTAGGGAACCATAAACTAAAGCAGAGATGAACAATCAACATTCCAGAACCACCCACAGACCACCTGGTTTCACTTGAAGGTCCATGATGTAACCTGAAAATAGAAGTTTAGACAACTGTCTACACTTTCCTTTCTTAAAAATATCCAGCTAGATAGTGCCCTCGATGGTCCTGGATCTGTCTCTTGCTTCAACAGTGTTTGCATGGAACAGACCCCTCTTCCAGCATCTTAGTCACCACCTTCAGAACCACCTCAGAGACCAGCCAATATGTTTTTTTCCTACCTTAGCTCCTTATTGCCGAACAATGATAAGCTCCCAAATTCGTCAGAATTATTCCAACTGGGTGGAGGCTGCGGTCAACCACCCGGCCAGCCTGCATCTGCGGGCTTCCCACACCTATCTCCCTCTGGACGATGTGGCTCTGTAGGCCTGGGGCCACTTCTTCCTTGAATTGGTGGAGAAGAAGCATGAGGCCTCCGAAAATATCTTAAAGTTGCAAAACCAGAACGGTGGCTGCATTCATCTGGGTTGATCCCAGCCCTGAGAATCCAGGCCTGGCGGCTGGGTGAGAATATTGGTCAGTAAGCAGTGACTCCCATCTTTAGCTGCACAGGGAATCACCTGGGCAACTTAGCAAGGACCAGGGCCTGGGGTCCACCCCCAAAGGTACTGATTTAATTGGTCCAGCATGTGGCCTGTGTATCAGGATTTTTTTTTAAGGTCCCTAGGTAATACTGATGCTACCTTGGACTTTCTTCCTTTTTAGCTTTTCTTTAAGCAATTTTTAGTATCTAGTTTTTTTAGTTTTTTATTAAATTTATTGGGGTGACATTGGTCAACATGAACATATAGGTTTCAGGTGTGGGTTTCTATGTTACAACATCTGTATATTGCCCCGTGAGCCCATCACCCAAAGACAAATTCTAATTTTTTCTAATTAAAATGTATTACTATTAATTTGGACTTCTAGGGAGAGCCCATCTGGAAGAGTGTCAGTGCCAACTAAGAGCGGTAGTGTGACCTAAAAACTTCCTTCAGTGACATCCGCAGCCTGGGGTCCTGACGCTGGAACTCAACCCACCAATTCTTGCTAGAATTGCCCATTTTAATAAAAATTTAGAAATGAGTTTTCTCTTTGTCTTAGGCAATGTAAACTCTCTGGCTAGAAATATGTTCT